GTTTTAAATATTCCTGATCGATCATTTATGAAGGGTTATAGACAAAACATGACTAGCATGAATTTAATTAATTATAGAGATATAAATAAAATTCGCAAACACTTGAAAGGATTCTAGGTGTTGGATCAACCTGCTATAAGAGAGCTGTGTGGTAAAAGTCATAAGCTTATCTCATATGTAACTATGTCATTAAGTCTTTTGACTTGAGATTATCATGAATTTTTACATGATGACCACTGAACTTTGACCTAATTAAAAGTCACCTTTAACCAAGTGATCATAAAGGCTATGATTAAGTTTAATCATATTTATATAGAGGAGTATGAGTGATTAAAAGGAAATTTGCCCTTACATTAATTGAAAGATATTATTGGGCTTCTCAATGAGTGAAATTTAGAAAATGTATGATATAATGGAAAGGATTTTTCCATTATTATAGTTAGTCTACTCAAAGATTGAGAAAGTAATAGTCAAACAGAGGAGAATGACAATTTCATGTCTCGTACTTGATTGAAATATTACGTGACAAAAGAGATATAATAGGTTACATTGGATCATCAATCCCTACATGAATTGGGTACTCGCAATATCTTACTAAAAGCCACTTGTGACTTATGAACTAGTAGTATTATTAGCCTACTGTCAACTTCATATGGGCCTACAAGATCGCACACAAAAATAACTCAACTTGTGCTATAATGTTCAAGTGTATTGAATTTAGAATGTGTTCAAATTCAATAAATATAATGTTAGATTTATCTAGAGTGAACGAATTTTATATAAATATACATGTGCTTGTATGGGCATTTGAATATTTATCTAATAAATATTTGTGTATATATATGTGATATATAAAATTTAAAATGTAATATATATATATATATATTTGAAATATATATAAGATGTATATTTGATATATTATATTATTATGTTAGTTTTAAATTTAGTTTTATATGAAAAATTTAATTTAATAACTAACATGATATAATATCATATTAGTACTATAATTTAGATTTGTGAGATAAATTTAAATTATATATGATATCATATATTAAATTTATGAGATACATTTAATTAATTTTTTATGGGCTCATAAGAGAAGATAAAAACCCTAATCTATATAAGATAGATAGGGGACAAGTTCTTAAGTGAGTCTATTGACGATAAAACTTTGAGAGCCACAAAAATATGCTAGAAAACAAAAGAAGTGTTTGATTGATGAACAAACGGACATTAGATACGGATAGCGCTAGCGCATTATTTGTGTGGATACCAATAGAGGGAACAGACCTACATAAATAGTTCTTAAGATCCAAATACTTGAAGACAACAAGTGAGAAGTTCAAAATAAAAGATTACTCTTCTATCTATCTTAACTTAAATAAGTTTGATTATTCTGTGACTATAATTGGAGTTTTAAATTTTAGTTTTTTTTTGCTGTGCCTCCCAATCCAACATTCTATGACAGGGCTTAATTCCTCAACCATTCAAGAGCATTTTGGAACTTTAAATCATATTTAGTAAGTTTCCTAAGCTCCATCATTCCTTCCTTTCCTCTCTATTTAGTTTTTGAGTTAGAATTTGATATGTGTAGTTGATGGAAGTTTTTTAAGTTATTTATACCCACATTTGACGATTGATGATTGATGGCATCCATTTGTTTAGGTCCTCATTTATGGATGAATTTGGATATTGAAATGTTGATCATGAGTTTGTTGGAAGCTATTAATGATTGTAGATGAGTTTAATAAAGTTAGTTTGAGCTAATGAAAGTTAATACACCTAATGGTAGTGAGCAAAGACGAGAGGTTGTGATTTAGAGTGGTTAAAGCATTGAAGCACAAAATTGTAAGTATATTTATGATGTCATCAATGGTAATTGATATGATTAATTGTATATTAATTGTTTTGTGCATCATTCAAGCTTGAGATTAACTTTGAAAGCAAGTTGTGTTAAGGGGTAAACCTTTGACCTTTCAAAATTTTAAAATAATTGGTAGAAATTTATTTCCAAACAATCTGGACAAGAATACAGCTAAACAATTTTTGTACTTCTAAACAAATTTTAATGCCAAACATAATATATGCATATATAATTCATCTCACTTGACAATTTTTTTTTCAAACATAACTTGCTTACTAATAATATAAAACACATATAGCCAATCACAATACATTCACAATCACGAATTAATAGTGACTACCTTCACTCCTTGCCATTAAAGCTCTTCAAACAATTCTTATACAATATAATAGTAATTATAGTTAATAAAGTGTTAATTAACACTAATCAAAATATCTACACACTAATCAAACCATACTCTTGGGGTTAAAATTATTAACATCAAGCTACTACACTCATTTAAACCCTTAAACACACTTGAAATCATCATCATTATACTCTTTAATAACTTATCAGCCTTTACATACCCTGATCATCACTAAAATCACTCGATAAGATCTAAGGTTTTAGATTTATCACTCCTATCACCACAAACAACATTAAAACAAATTAAATTGTACTTGTTTAACCTTATGACACCCATAAAATTCAAGCCCAAGGGCTGTTAGAGCATAAAAAAAGAAACCTAACAACACCCATGAAGATATCTACTTTAAAAAAGAAGAGAGAAGGTTAAAGAAGAGGTTAGGATGATTACTTTAGGGTTTTTTAAGCTCAAATCTATCTACAATAATGGCTCTTAACCAAATCTTAGTAGAATAATAGATTTTTACACTTAACCTCACCCAACACACCTTCTATCTAATTTTTAAGCTAAAACAATAAGTGCTAAAAACATGTCGTATACCACATCATACGTGCACATGCCATGTTACATAATATAGTGCTAGAAAATCTCACTAAAGCTCAATAAATTTGGGTCCACACGAGCCAAATACCTATTTTGAACTTTAAATAAACCTAATGCATGTTCTTAGAACCAATTTAATTTATAAGTAAGAGTCTAAATAATTAATTTACATCCATAAACCTCAATCAACATAAATCCTCAAAATGCATTTTTTTCAATTAAATCCTCAATTACACATGAATTTAAATAGTTAATTTGTAACCTAAAAATTGGGATGTTACACCCATATTTTTTAATCTTTTTTTTGTTCAAATTCGCACTACATTCTATCTTATAGTTAATGAATTTAACTATAGGTAATTTTAAAAAAAGTAATTAATACCCCCATTACATGACTTATATGAAGGATCAAAGAATTTTTTTAAAAAATACCTTATAATAAAGATAAGAAGGAATATAGCGAATAAATTGATGTAAGTCATATTGTTTATGTAATTTTTAAATTATTTTGTATATAAATAAATTATTAATTAGCCATAGTCTATATCATTTCTAGAAACTAATCGATACGCCCAAAAAGTTGTGGATTAACAATCATTTTCTTGCATGAGTTTTTGGTAAGATAGATGTTGAAACTTGAAAGTCATTAGGTTCAACACTTCTTCCTTATTTATTAATAAAATTTTTACGTGAAACAAAGAATTTGACTCTCTTTGAAAAAAAAAGAAAAGAAACAAAATTTAAGACATTATCAATAAAATTAATTAAAAAACTAAAAATCAATTTTTTTATAAGCAAAAGCTTATATAAGTTCAGTCCTGATAACTTATTAAAGTTAGAATATGCCTCTAAAGTTGTATCTACAAGTTTTGAGGCCTAAAATGAGATTACTACAGTGGCCTAACATCATGTAATATTATAATATCAGTATATCACTCATAAATTTTTCTATTATTTTTTATATTGCGAGTTTGAATAGACTTAATTCATTTAATTTATATTGTAATATGGTTTACCTTTGATAAAATTTGGATAATTTTAAATTTAAAAACTTATTTAATTGATGGCAGTTGTTATTGACATCATCACTGATATTTAATGGCAAAAAAATTTAAAAATAAAATATCTTTATATATATTTATCATTCACTTTTCATTAAATTTATGCCATGCATATATTTTAATTGTTATTTTGTGAATATAAAGTCATTTTTCCTATAATTTATCTTTAAATTTTATACTATTACATGCTTTACAAAATGAAATTCAACACTATAACTTCTTTTTTGGGAGCAAACAATACTACTACATCCATTTAAAATATTTTTAAAGAGTTGTATGTTTAAAAATGTAAAGTATTTTTAATCTTTTCAGGTGTAATTATTGCCTGTTTTTCAAAAGGACCCCTATTGATAGTGACTTTATATTTGTTGTAGGGTATTTAATAGAAATAAATATAAAAAAATAAGATTAGTTTAAAAATAAGTAACTATTTTATTGGAGGGTGAGATTCAGTTAAAAATGTTAACTGAGGGAATGGAGGCTGTAATTTATGTGAGGCCCTAGACAATATAATGGCCCAAATGTAGCTACAACATTGCATATTTTCATATTTAAAAAATATTTACATAAATACTTACATATTATTTATTAAAAATGTTTTTATAATAACAGTTAAATTTAATCTTATAATTTTATAAGTTATAGATTAAATACTTATCAGTTAAACAAACTTTTATTGATAACTCCAAATCATTTTTACTGAATTTAAAACAAATTGTTATAATATTAATTTTATATGGATATATATATATATATATATATATATTAATAAACCCTTTTTTAAAATATTAATATTGCTTTTGACAGCCCTTATGATGATTAGATGTCATTTTTTAAATCCACAAGGCGCGCCTTTTCTGCCATGAGGGGGAAAAGAGAACCACGATTAGCGGCTGCTCATGTTATTTTTATGCCAACCGTTGAGTACTTTTTAATAATGAAAGCACGATGTCGGACCCTCGCTCTATCTTGGACTCTCTTGCGTCACTCCCCAAAGTCCTTCCCCATCATGGAAGACAGCTGCAAATCAACGCACATTCTCGTTATTTCAGCTTTCTCCAAGGGTATCCACGTAATTTCATCTTCGCCTTCTGTCCATTTCAATTCAACTCACATCACATCACAGTTTCGGTCCGACCCGTCCCCCTCTCGCTCGTGTCTCTCTCTTTTATGTGCCAATTCTCTCCCTCATTTTCAAATACAAATTCGATCCATAAATATTTTCCTTCCGGAACGCTAGAGACGATTTGGACGAGCAGATTTGCAATAACAGGTTTAATCTCACTCCAAATCTCTGGGGGAAAGAATCGACGTTTTCTGGACGAGAACAAGAAAGGTGGTGGCGAAGGGCGGGATTTGCTGTTCCTTCAATTGGATTCATTTTCTCTTTCTTTGTTTTTGTTGGTGGAAGGGAGGGGGATGGGGAGGGTTTAGAGGGACAAAGAGTTTAAGCTGCTGAAGTAGGGGCTCTTGGTGAAGATGACGGAAGTGGTTCTGCATGTATATGATGTGACAAATAGTGGATCGGAGAAGACAAACAACACCATCGTTCAGATCAACAAGATCTTCAAGGACGGGATTGGTCTTGGTGGTATATTCCACAGCGCTGTTCAGGTGCCCTTCATTTCTTTTGGTTGTATAAGAGTTATATATAGTATGAATAGCTGTATTTATTTGCTACGTTGTTATTGTTTGAGAATCGTGACTGTGAATTCGATCTAGGGTTTTGGAGAGGTTTCTTGAGTTAATCCTTTTGCGCTAGTGGGGATTTGCGTTTGTTGTTCTGTAGCATTCTTAATTCTTTGATTTAGATGCAAGCAATTACAAATGTTCATGGATGAGTTGTGTGTAGATGTCCATTGTGCGACTGTATTGATAATTTGAGCCTTTTTTTAGTTTCAATCCCTTGTTAGTGGCCGTATTTTCAGTTGTTGCTTATATGGTAGGGGCACTTAGGAGCTTTGTGGTTAGCAAAAGGTGACAATACGATATTCAAGTGATTTTCGCTATTCTGAGTGGATCTTTGCACGATGTTATGAAAGATATAGCAGGTAATGTGGAGGACATAGCTCTTGTAGGATTGAATTGTTGCGAGATTGGGAACAGAATAGCAAAAATTCATCAATAATGTATCTGAATGACGTTTGCTACCGTATCATTGGTTCCTTTAGTACATTACCATCAATTGGTCTAGCCTTCTGGTTGATGGCTGAAGTATTTTTCTGGTTGACTTGTCATAAGCAGGGAGGTTTAGTTGGACCAGGGAATATTGCATGTGTGTTGATTTATAGTAATCCAAATATTGTCTTTTTACCTTCACACTGATATACTTTGCTGTTAATAATGAAAATGCATTTGTCTCATTTTCTGCATTGGAATTTGGAATTGATGAATGACCAAACTCAAGATTCTATTAAAAAATTTAGTAATAAGTGTTTAAAAGTGCATAAATTTAAAATGCATGTAGAAAAAGGGAATCATGGCAAAGAGGGGTTACCAGACATGTTTATGGACCATGGGAATTATGAAACCCACTAAGCTGTTTAATGTGACCATAGTCTTGTGAACCAAAATTTTATCAGGTGCTTCTTAGAATATTTTTCTGGTGATCTGACAATTCCATATATGCGTTGTGGAAGTTGTTTACATTGAATACAAAGCCCAAGATACATACATACACGCATGATGCATGCATATATGTATATATATATATTTATGATATAACTAGATAGCCACTTGTGCATTTCGTGGACTCTGAAAATGTGTCGAAGTCTTCACAATTTGTTAATAGTGCAGTTTCTTATAGAATTTATATTTTACATCAATGATATTGATATTGATTGTTTTTGTTATTGTTTTGTTTGTGATTTATTGCTGTTATTATTATACATGTAATTATAAATTCTTGCTCATTGATACTGAATTTCAAGTTATGAAGAATTTGATTAGTACGTTTAGTATCCAATTAATTTTTTAACGTTAATACACTCTGACAAGAAATATAAAGCATTTATATGGCACTTTTTATGTAAGGAAAACTTCAGCATCAGTTTAATATTGTGGTTTGCCTAGGATTGAAAATTTGGCACCCATAATATTGTCTGCTTGCTATTTTTTGAGCGCATCCTCAATTTTTTAAATTTTAAAATTTAATTTAACTTCCTTGTTCATTCATAGTGCGCAATATTTTTATATTATTGTGGTAGGCCTATGATTTTGTCATGTGCTGATATATCATGGGTTGTTTCTGCTACTGTTACAGGTTTATGGAGATGAAGAATGGTCATTTGGTTTTTGCGAGCAAGGTACTGGAGTTTTCAGCTGCCCTTCACAGAAGAATCCAATGTATACATATCGTGAATCCATTGTTCTTGGGATTACAAACTGTTCAATTTTCAAGGTAAACCAAATATTAAGAGAACTCAGCAGGGAGTGGCCTGGAAGTTCATATGACCTGTTATCCAAAAACTGCAATCATTTTTGTGATGAATTCTGTGAAAATCTTGGGGTGCCAAAACTTCCAGGTAAAACATCCAATCATATAGGGTACTGGTTATATATGACTTATGCTTGTAATGTTGGTGTTCTACTAAATTTCTGAGGTGTGCTTACATGTCCACATGACAGCAAATATGTGTTATGGAAAGCTTTTTCATTTTAAGTTTCTTGGGTAGAAAAAGCCTATTCCATTGATAAATTCTGTGTATGATGTCTTTCTTTAATGTCGTAATTTGAGATATAGCAGACTTTCTTGCCCAAGCTAAACTTTAAACTGTAGAACTCTGTATTGTGCTGTTATTATACTTTAACTGCATATAGAATCATTAAATAACATGATACTGTTGACATGGTCTCTACAACTTCCTATTTTCTTGAGTTAAGGAAGACGAAGTTGCAAGCTGAGTGCTGATATGAAAAGAATAAATAAACATTATCTGGTGAGTTAGTTAGGAGGTTAGTAGTTAGGATTACATAAGATACTTAGTAGAAGAGCCTATATAAGGGGATCTTAAAGGAAAGTCGTTGTATGCATAATTGAAAATCCCAGAAATATTGTTCAGATTCTCTCTCTCTCTCTATCTCTCTCTCTCGATCCTTCGTCTCTTATCTCTATTTTCTGTTTCTCTTTCTCTCCTCTCTCATCTTCTTCCTATTTTCCCCGTTTCTTCTCTTCATCCCCTTCTACTATTTCAAGTGCAATAGGAGAAGGGTGAGGAGATATGCTTTGTCAAAACTAGAATCAAGTTTTTGAATTGCATCAGAAGTAACTTATCCTGTGTCTGAAGCTATCAAAGCAATTAAGAATTAGTGGATATTAGGGGCATAAGAATGTGATAATGTGTCATTTACCACTGTCATTGAAGTCTACATGCTTAGTGGATATTGGCATGGCTTTGCTCTGTGATTGTTGATTCTGTACATTGCTTTGCCCCTGTGTTCTTATGGCTTCAATGGCAGGTTGGGTGAATCGATTTGCCAATGCTGGGGACACTGCGATGGAGGTGGCTGAAAGCACAGCAATGCGGGTGAGAAATAATTTTCTTGATCTTTTTCTGCATTCGTGATCATTTTTGCTTGTCATGTTTATTTCATTTCAGACTAATCTTAATCACTCTTTTGCTGATGTTTGGCATGTCAACTTATTCAATAAAACATGTTACTTGTACATAAGTCTTTGTATTTTCAACCCTGACGTTGGCAAATTAGCATTGAGGTGTGTGATATTTCATGAAAAAATGCATTCATTGCTGTTGTAGGTTGGGGACGTTTTATTATTATCGTCCATATGCTTAAAACTGGCTATGGCATATGGGGCCCAGTTTCTCTCTCTTTTTTTTTTTTTTTGGTTACCTTGATCCTGTTATCGTGGTTAGTGTGCGACATGCATTTGAAACGATATTCCTAGTATTTATTAGCCCTAGTATCAGAGAATTCAATGATGTGACATATTGCAGCTACGGCAAGCCAAAACAGAGATCGTATCCGCTAGTAAAGTAGCATACCGGTTCCTCGTAGGTGTCACCAACAATATCAGAAGTGATCCAGACTCCCCAAGCAATTCCAACAGAGGAGGGAGCCCCAGGTTTCAGGGTACTTGGTTAAAGAATCTGATTACTACTGGTGCTAAACCATCAAGTAGTTCAGAAATCCAGAATCAAAATGGGGATGAGCAGCCACAGCAAAGGCAAGGAGATGATGGCAAGGCACTGCTTCGTCATAATTCATCTTTCGCATGATAATAGTTGAGGGACTAGTCACCGTTCAGAAAAGCATAGGTCGGCAGTCTCTGCTGTGTATTGTATGTCAACAAAGTCAAAAGGCAATTTTTAACAATTCAAATGAGACTCGATTGTAAAATTCTCAACTCATCTCAAATCTTCCCATCGAAGCCCGCTACGACTGTTCATTGAACAGAGATTATGTCCTTTGTTTCGCCTGTACTGTTCACTGAACAGAAATTCCGTTCTTTTGTTGTTTTCTGCCTCTAAAAGAATGAACAGCCATGATATCCCTGTTTTTATCAAACTACTGCGTGATCACTGATCAGTGTTGGAATTTCAGTCGGCTTTGATAAAGGCACATAATAATTTGATAGGCCAAATGCAGATGCATCCAAGTGGTGTTCGTTTACAGTGCGATTTAAAAATAAAAGAAAGTTACTATGCCGTTTGCGTTATTTTATGGGAAGAGGGTGTCTCCATTTCCCTCCCATCACCTTTGGATCAAAAATTTAACGGTTCAGATTGAAGCTTTAATAAAATTATTTTATTTTATAAAAAGGTGTATAAATAAATTTAAATTATTAAAGTTTAATCTAAATCATTTAAAAGTATAATATTTTATTTATATATTTTATATAAAATTAAAATAACAATTTTTTTAAAATTAAATCTAAACCATTGAAAAAGTTTAATCCAAAGGTGATGGGAGAGAAATGGAGGAAAATGGAGGGAAGGAAAATGGAGACATCCTCTTCCCGATATTTTCTCTTCGAAATTGAAACAGTCCGCTGGGTATCTGCTTTCAGCTAAACAACAGTTTACTGTTTATTATAATAAGAAATGTTATTCAATGGACTTTTACAAACACAGCAAGGGTTGTCGTTGTCTTTAGTTATAGGATGACTGTTGTTATTATTTGTCTGAACTTTAAAACGTTAATATACCACCAATCTTGCATGTTCATCCCTTTTCTTGTCAGAATTCTTAATGTTAATTAATAATTTAAAATGGAACATGGATACACTGACAATACCTAGCACTATCAACATCACTGTCGGAAATAGAGCCGCTCAATATTACAATTTCTTTCTCTTTTATTGGAAAAAAAACTTAGAAAAAATATCATTTACGGATTATTGAGAATATTTAATATCGATTAAGACAAAAAAAGTTCTGAAATATATATCCATGTTTTTTTTCTAATTGACAAGTAACTATTTATAAATTAATAAACACTTATTCACATTTAATAAAAAATTATTCATCAATTAATAAGCTTAAAAATATAAAAGAAATTAGTTGTGAGAAGAAACAATAAGGAATTATTTTATTATTTTATTTTTTTTATTTTTGAGTGAAAGGTGAAATCCATTAACCATCAAAACCGTACATCAAGCGACCGAAGAAAGCAAAATTACATTAGAGATTTGAACTTATAAAAGAAAGTAATTATGTTGTTGACTGTAGCCCTTGTCTACGAGAAGTGCATCCTCCGAGATAGTAGCTTGAGTAAAGATTCGGAGGCTTTGAGCTTCCCAAAGTTTCCAGCAAACAATGACAATTCCAATTTTCCGAGAGATATCTAGGTGAGCAGATTTGATAATGCTAAGCACCCGAATGTCAATAGTAGACTTGGAGAAATCTCTGTAAGTATCTCGTGGTAGAATCTTCTTCCAGACGTTGGCCGGGAGAGGGCACTTTTTGAGGAGATGGTTGATGCTTTCAGTGGCATTCAAACTATTGCAAAGAGCACAACTCTAATTCTGGGTCATTTTAACTCTAATTCTGTGTCATTTTCCTTCTGAATCTCTCCTGATTAGTGAGGAGTTTTCCTTTAAGCATGAGCTAAATGAACGTTCGGACATGTTGGGCAATAGGTAGCTTCCAAATATGCTTTCATTTCACATCAGAGTGATTCCAATTCAGAGATTGATAAGCTGTGTAGGCTGATTTGACTGAAAAATTTCCTTGAGGGGTTAGATGCCAGTAATAAGGAGAGTCAGTCATGTGAACATCAATAACAGTCTTCTTTTATTTTATCAACAATGGACAAGGGTAAAAGTGCTGGAATAAATTCCAATTCCATTCTCCATTATCATCAATGCAATCCGATATGGGCATAAATTATACTCTATCATCAATGTCAGCATAAGCTAGTAATTTTAAAGGGCCAGAGTCACCAACCCAAAAATCACTCTAAAATTTTGTCTCTGCCATTTTCAGGATTCTACTTGACATGCATCATCGTGTCTTGCCAAAAAATATTCCCCTGGAGAGCAGACGGCGATGATTTACTCTTCAAGGTGGGAGCCAGGCCTTTGATTCCATATTTACCTCACAGAACACAAACCCAGAGCAATGCAAGTTCAGCTACAATTTTGAACTCCAACTTTGAGAGAAATGCTTTATTTTGTGCTTCAAGATTCATAAGACAACACCCACCATGTAATAACAGCTGGCATAATTCACTCCACTTCACAAGATTGATTCCTTTTTGTTCATCCAAATGTCCCCAAATAAATTTTCTAATGAGCTTCTCAATAGCTGAACAGCAAGTGGAAGGAAACTTAGCACCTTGCATTGTGTAGAATGGGATGGTAGTGAGGATTGATTTAGCCAAGGTGATTCTTTTTGTAACATATAGAAAAATTTAACCCAAAATTAGCTGAGTAAATGAGGGTAATTAAATAAATTTATGTGGTGTGTGGTTATAAAGAGTAAATGGATATTTTAGGTTGTAATTCTAGCCTTAAGATTGAGTTCGAAGTGAAATCGGACCACCCGAGCATGAAAAAGTGAGACAAATAAGGAGAAATGGCTCTGTGCCACATGTTGTGACGCACAACCCACCAAAATGTGAAGTTCACTTCTTTGTACCATATGTTTTGGAGTGTGGGGATAGGTGCCACAGTTCACGGTACATTTTCTATAGAATTAAGAAGCAAAAATGATGTGAAAAATAGAGGAAAAAAAGAAAATGAGAGAAGGAGAAAGAGGAGACTTAGAGCTCTGTTAGGACTTCAATTTCAAGAACGTTAGAGGCATTTTGAAGCTACCCAACCTCAAGGGTAAGTTTCCCAACCTCTTCTATTTCCTTCCCCACCCATTTTTTTAAAGTTTTCTTAAAGTTTGGACGTTGGACAGAGAAATGAGGTATGTCTAAGATTGCCCCAAGTTGCTATTAAATGACAGTAGAATTGCTGTCTGATCTATGCAAAATGTCGTGGTGCATAGCATAAAAAATAGACAGCCGCAGTGTATGCGCATATGACGCAGTGCATTGCCTTGTTTTTCATGTTTTATTTATTTTTGAATTTTTTCACTCCTCTAAAGTATCTTGGCTTCTATAATAATATTTCACTTTGATTTGAAGTTTATTAAATCATCTTTAAGTAAATTTGAGTTATGAAAACTTAAGACCCTATTTCTAAGAAAAATTATGAACTTGACAATCTAGTTGGTTTAGCCCATGATTGCATTGGATTCATAGTTAATTGTGATTAAATAAGGAGATTTTACACTTCCAGCTAGTGTGAGAGTTCTAACTTTCCACCCTTCCAATTTTTTGTGAATTCTCTCAAGGGTGTAGTCATAGGTCCTTATTGTTACTCTTCCATTAATCAAGGGTATCCCAAGATACTTGCCAGGAGAGTCAAATTTTAAAAGCCCATCTTATAACAAATGGTTTTACAAGTAGTGGCATTGACATTTTTGGAGAAAGATTTGTGTTTTGGTGTGATTGATTGTTTATCCCAAGGAGATACAAAATTCTTGCATGACTTTATGTATTGTCTTAACTTGAGTATCCAAGGTTTCCCTAAAGAGAACTAGATTATCTGTAAAAAAGAGGTGTGATAGAGGCACCCCTTGACGACCCAATTTAATAGGTTTCCAATTACTTTTATTAACTTCTGCCACAATGGCTTGTGAAAGGTGTTCTATATAAATGACGAATATGTAAGAGGAGAAAGGGTCCCCTTGTCTAATTCCCCTCATAAGGGAGAAGGCAATAGTAGGCTTACCATTCCAGATAATTTTCTTTGGGTCCCCTTGTCTAATTCCCCTCATAAGGGAGAAGGCAATAGTAGGCTTACCATTCCAGATAATTTTCTTTGAAAGAGTAGAAATACAGTTCTTAATCAACTACACTATTAGTTTAGGCAATCTAACATCTCAAAAGGTATCCTCAATAAAGTCCCATTGTAGTTTGTCGAAAGCTTTCTCAAGATCGACTTTAATTGCCATCCTGCTTGTTTTGCTTATTCTCTTTCTCATTAAATGCATAACCTCTTAGGAAATAATAATGTTATCAATGATGTTCCTGCCCTTCATAAAGCTATTTTGATGCAACATAACAATTGATGGCATAAGTTTGTTGACTCTGTTTGCTAGCACCTTAGTTACAGTCTTGTATGCCATTGAGTAGAGACTTATAGGACGAAACTCCTTTAGGTAATGAGGTGTATTGAATTTGGGAATAAGTGTTATCAAAGTTTTGTTTACCCATAGGTCAATTGGTTTACCAAGTTACAGTTCTTTAACAAAATTTAAAACATTTTGCCCCACAACCTCCCATTGATTTTGGAAAAAGAAGGCATTGAATCCATTAGCACCAAGGGCTTTAAGTGGGTTCATATTAAAGATTTCTTGTTTAACTTCCTCAAATGAGACCTCCTTGTTTAATAAAGTATTTAAAGAATCCTAACCATGAAGGGTGTGAAAGTTGGATCCTCTAATATGTACAAATTCTTGAAGAAATCCTAAGCCATCTCAAAAAGCTACTGTTTGTTCACAACCTAAACTCCTTGATTAGACTTGAATTGGGTTATATGGTTGCAACAGTGTCAAAGGAGGGATCATGTGTGGTAAAATAAGGTATTTCTATCTCCTAAACAAACCTGGTTTGTTGAAGATTTCTAGATCCAGAGTAACTCCTCCTGTAAGCAAATTTTTTCCTCCTTTCTTAATTAAAGATCTAGATCGAGAAGGGATGAAGAGTAAGGTAAGCTTTTGAGTTTCCTTTGGATACCCAAGATTCTTACAAGCGCACACCTCTCTCTCTTGCCAATCTAACCGAAAGTAGTATTGTTCTAGATAATAGCCTCCTTTATAAAATTTTAGATGTTTTGGATGATGTTATAATCAAGAGCCTAATTGCTTTAGACTAGTTAAGGCTATTTCGAATGTATGGCCCAACAAGCAAGTAATTTAAACATTATTTTTGATGATGGGGACTTCACCTAAGTGAATCATAACAGGCTTGTGATCTAAACCAACCTTTTGTTAAACCCTAAATCAAATAGG